CACACACACACACACACACACACACACACACACACACACACACACACCCTGAACTTGATTTTTGATTCTTTCCAGGGTTCCTGCCTGCTCAAGACTATTTCCTCACTGTCACAGGCATCAGAGTCAACCAAGTCTCACTGAAAAGCAACCTGTACAGGAACTAAGGTAAAGCAGATCTGATGTTTTAAACAAAGAAGTCTTAGGCTCTACAAGTTGGGTCATAAGTAATTCAATCTATTTAAAGTTTAGATATATGTAATATCAGTTGGCACTTTGAATGGTTAAATCTTGCCTTTAAATTCTACATCAATTTTAAAGTAGCCTTATTCCTCAATGGTTATTGATCACACAATCCACTTTTAGGCCTCGGATCATAACCGACTTGGAGTGAGAATTATAATCCAGTGCTGGTATTTTGCTTCTGGTAACATTAAGGTACTTTTTAACTCAAGTTGTTTATTTAATGATGAGGGGCAGACATAAGAACAAGAACAAATACAGTACTTTGCAGAAATTTCATTTAGCATAGCATGAAGACACATTATTTATTTCTAGAAGATTTAATATTAAATACTAACACAGAGACTATTAACCTGAAATTTAAAACATAGCCAGTTATGTGTTAGACTATATTGGTGGTTATTCAAGCTACTTTGAGCTCTTTCTAACTATAGCATTATGTAGGATAGGCATACATATTCATTTATAAATATGTTATATCATTTATTATTTGTTCATATTAGCACTGAAATACATATTTTGTGTTAAAAATTAAAATAAATATTTCAAATATGTTCTGTAATAGGTTTGAAAATTCACTGAGTGTTAGCACCAAACAAAACGGAAGACCAAACTTGCTCCCTGGAAATGATAAAGTAAGAACAAAGAGAAAAAAAAAAACAAAAAACAAAACCATGCTGTATAGTCCAGAATGCCCATTTTTGCTATTTCACATGATCTAGAGAACAAAACCACTTGTGAATAAGTGGTGGTTGATAGTACCTCATAAATATGAGAGCGTTTATCCAATTCAATTCAAGATGGAAGAAAAACTTGAAGAAGGTAGAATTGCCACCCACTTTTCAAGGGTTTGACACTGATGTCTGTGAGAAGTCAAGGGACAGTGATGTTATATGTGGAGAAGGAGAAATGATGGTGGGCATTGCAGGGATAGCTTTCAAGTCTCCTTTGCTCATTCTTTAGGTGAAATTAAATTACTTAGATAATCCATGGGGCCATTGCTAAAGTAATTTTTCTATCTGTTTATCTTTATCAATTCAGGTATGCAGGGAATACTTGCCATGTGTCAAACTTTCTCAAAAGAGGGTTTCTATTGATGTAGTCATTGAGTATATGTTCTTTTTAATGTATCTGTTATTGTTTAAGGAAGAATTTTATACTCACAGACAATGTGTTTTATCAAGCCCATCCCCTCCATTCCCTCTGCTCTAAATCCTCATCTCGTTCCTTCCCTCAGGGAAGGAAATACGTTCCTTCCCTGAACGTATTTCCTCTCAATCTAATATGATTTTCCCCTTTACCAAATCCACTTAGTGCTCCCTGCTTGTGTGTGTGAGCGCATGGGGATATCTGCTGGAGCCTGTGTAGCTGCCATGAGAGCTGCTTCCTTAAAGAAAGATGACTCTCTTCCTAATGTCTTTGTGTTTGGTTTGGCGGCAACACTTGGTGGCCTTTCCAACCTATTACAGAAAATAGCTGAAACATTTATTTAAATCTTTAGCACAAAATACGCATTTCAGTGCTTTCCTGAGCATTTTCAAAAGGACAGACTTTTTCTCTTCCAGAAACCATGGATTGCCAATAGCTCCTCAGATAGGGGAGGGACTGCAGGATTACCTTCCCTGTCCATGCTGGAAGTTTGTCTGGCTTTATCTTGTGCATGTCTTGTGTGTGCTTTCTTGATTACTGTGATTTTGTATGTTAAGCTGTGCTCCCAATAAACACTGTCTTGTCCTGGTCATCCTCCTCCTCTTACAAACTTTCCACCCTTCTTCTGCAATGCTCCCCAATCCTTGGGAGGAGGAGGTATGATATGAATTATGAATTGCAAATAAAACAATGACTTCAAACCGTGATGCTTTTGAACAACAGAACAACAGAACTAGGTGTTTTTTGTGTTTTTTTTTTTTTTTTCTAAAACTGCATTGACTCACCATCTTTGGCAAATAAAATATTTTCTAGTGAACACTGAGACAATTAGGACTTATATAATGTTAATGAATTATATTAGTCCAATGGACATTTATTCATTATTTAACTAGGCCATATTATAAAGTATATTCAAAGTATTTAAGAAAGTATTACAAGGATTTATCTATTTGTATGTCCATATTTTAGCTAATACAAGTAAAATACTAGAAGAAATAATGCTTGTAATTGATAGATTCTCAAAATGTGCATGCATGTAGTAAGTACTTAAGATTTCAGAGACCTACAAGTCTCTGCAGCAGGACACCCAGGGACGCTGAAGAAGAATGAGCACGGGGGGTCACACGAAGAAGCTGCGTTGTCTTATAAATGGGAAAGGGAGGAAGATTGTACGTGTTTATCTTGGCACTGAGCGTGGTTAACAAACTCTGTGATGTTTCACAACCTTTCCTTCCATTTGGGCCAGCGTTCCTCTCCCTTTTGCCTTTCTCATACTCGAGGAGTCTGCTTACATAGACCCAGAGCCTTGGTGCCACCTTCTCCAATTCTCCTTACTAATCTTCGGTAAATACTTCCACAGAAGCCTGCCCATACTTCATCCTTGCTCTGCCGTGTAGTATAGTGAGCATATGCGCTTTTCCACGACAGCATTTCTTTTACCTTCCTCATTAATGCAATTTTTTGCTTGTTTGTTTGTTTCACTTGAAGAAAATTATCACTGACTAAAGTTATGTTTGCACACAAAGATTGTGCAGGCAAAAAGTATATTACTTTTTAATCCCTTTTCACTTCTGGTTATTTCTCAATTTGATTCAAAATATTCAGGTATTTATCAACTTACCCCAGTGATTTTATGTTCATTGTCGTGCCTATATTTCTTTTTTCAAGTACTTCTATTATCTCTCATTAATCTCCATTATTTCAATAATTAATAATGTTTTCAGGTCTGGAAATTGCCCCCTAATTTGCCTTACTCTTTGTTTTCTGTATTTCTTAGAAAATCAAATACTGTATCCATTTTTATTGTATAATGATACAAACGTTTATGGATGGAATTGTTCCACGCCCAAGCCCACCTGATCAAAAAATATTCTAATGTCCATTCCTCATGAGTTTATAAGGACAGAAAGAATCATATTCCATTTTTTCCTACTGGAAATAATTGGTTTGGGGCTAATATCATATTGTCAAGAATTGAAATGGACATATTTCCACTGTCCTTAAATATATAAAACCCCACATATATTTCCTTACTTCTGATACTGTACTGCCATCTATAGTTTGTAACCATGTCACAATGTACCAGGTCTTTGTTCTTTTGTAAGGGACATATTGACATACATGTTGATTATGTAGTTTTCAAATTTTAGGCTATTTCTGACCCATTTATCTCTTTTTCAACTAGCTAACCCTTATTTCCAAAGAAGAAAGAATTCATATCCTTGGGATAAACTCTGCTGCATGTGAATACTTCTATTGTGCTTAGAAAATAATTACCAGCATGTAGAATCTGATCACTGCTACCCTTACTATAAACTTATTTGAAGACAGCAAGAAATACCAGTGGGGTCCATAGTAATGGGAACAGGGACTGTCCCTGACATGAACTAATTGGCCTGCTCTTTGCTCACCTCCAGCTGAGGGGGGAGCAGCCTTATCAGGCCACAGAGGAAGACAATGCAGACACTCCTGATGAGACCGGATAGACTAGGATATCAGAAGGAAGGAGAGGAGGAGGGCTTCCCTTATCAGTGGAGAGACATGGTTGGAGAAGGGGGAAGGTGGGTGGGATTGGGAGGGGAGGAGGGAAGGAGCTACAGGGAGGATGTAAAGTGAATAAACTATAATTAATAAAAATAAAAATGAAAAAAATTGAAGAGAAAAATTCCTAATGAACTTCTTATATTCACTGAACTGTCATGTTACATATGTCTTATATGTTTTCACCCTTAGAAGCCACTATTCTACAGATAAGGGGTGATAGTACGTAAGTAGGAGGGGAAGTGAGGGTGGGCCTGGGAGGAGATGAGAGAGGTAGTCAGAATACAAAGTGAAGAAATTATAATTAATATTAATAATCATATTGGGCAAATGAGTCTGCTACCAAAATATATTACTCAGCACTTATTTCAAAAAAGAAATGGAATAAAAGAAGACACTGATAATGAATCCCAAAGAACAATCTATGTGGCAATTGAGCTACCTCAACCCCATACTTTTAATACCTTTAATTCCAGGATGTTGTGGGTTATTAATATTTATTATTGATTTATCTTTTAGTTAATCTGCAGTCATTCCTAAACCAGCTATATACCCAAATCACAACACAGAGACTAGGATTTATTTAATTAACCTCAAGCACAATGCTGGGCAATAGTTACTCCATCCTAAACCTCCAAGCCTGCATAGTTTCCTCCCATTCAGATTTCCCATGTTATACTTACCTTTAGTAATATCGTAGGTCCAGTTCATCTCTCCTCATGGTTCCAAGACCCTCCTGCCAATCTCCGTTCTCTTCTTCCTCCCCCTCTCTTCCTTCTTCTCTCCTCCAGACCAGGATGTTCCACCCTATTCTCTTCCTTGCTCAGCATTGTGGCTGGTTGTTTTATTGACAATGCAGAGAACAAATGGTAGCATGTTTTCACTAACTTGAGACAGGTGATCCTTAAGCATCACAAAGCAATGTCCAGATTGAAACTGGATAGTGGGGTGGAGAAATCAGAATTTGAATGAACAAGGATAAATTGTATACATTCCACAAGAACATTATACCAATGCTAGGACCACGTTTCCCTTGCTATATCCTAAATTCATTATTAGAAAGTACAAAAAGAGAAAACTTCTCTTCTAACAGGAATGACAAATCCGTAGAGTTTTTAATAATTTTCGTAAAAATCATACATACATACACTCCTTTAAGTTTCATAGCCAATCTAGGAGCTAAGTACTGATTTACCTGTCCCACATTGAAGATATGATACAGAGTAAAGTCAAGAAACTTGTACAGGCTTTATAGCTGGCAAATATCATGGTTCATCAACCAGCAGCCATAAATGTTTTCTTTCACCTTTTATGGTGGATTTTTGGGAAGTAGCTTTAAACTTCTGTATTTGCTGCTTTCAGCAAATTTTACATGTGTCTTATTCTGGTTTAGGGCTGCGAGAGTACATACTGTAGATTGCAGCTATACATTAGCTTAGGTGATAAAATTTGATTGCATGGATGTCCAAAGCAGGGAAGGTTGGTTGTTGCAGTGTTCTCTTAAAGGCAGGTCAAGCAAGCAGTTTAAGTACACAAAACTAGCAGTCGTAAGTCTTAAGTGACTTCAAGGTGTATTACCAACTCTGGTTATAAGCTTCAGCAGAAGTTCTGGTCTCTTAGAACATTAGAGAGATTTTCAGAGTATCACATTGTCATAGTTCTCACTGTTAATTTCTCAGTGAGAATGCTCCTCAGAGTCTAGAAAAAGGGAGTCAGTAGATGTTAGTAGCAGTGGAGATAAGAGTTCCTCAAAAAAACAAGTGACTCCTTGAAGCTTCCTACGAGAGAGTGAAAGAATTTCATTGGCAGAATGCAATGATAAGAAGAAACCAATATATGCCTATTAGGAGTTTTTAAGTCAAATAAACTTAACCTAAAACCCTCATCTTTATTCTTTTCTCATACAGTATACATAATCTGATAAACATATACTTGAGACTATTTGGTTAATTATTAGGAAACCTGGTATTCTGGGCTCATTATTGATTTCACTAAAATCAATAAGTTCAGAAACATATGTGGCAATAAAAGCAATAACAATTATCTTAACACTGTACAATATTTCCATCGGTGTTACTTTTATTAATTAAATATTATTTTAATGCTTACCTTAATATTCAAATATTTAAGATTTTAATCCAGTATTTTTTTTTCTTTCTCAGTGACAGTAATGTAATATCTGTTTAACAGTGAGACACGGGATGTCAAGATGCTGAACTATTAAGAAAAGAAAATTATTCCAAAGGAAGACATTTTGACTTGAGCCAGAAGAA